CCACCGGAGGTCAGCAAGGCCATCTCGGCGATACATCCGACTTCCATCTTGCAGCACCACGGCAAGGCGTGGGCAGAATTGTGGACTGCGCCAGCAGGCTTAAACTTCACCACCCCTACCATGCAAAGCATCCTTGAAACAGTGCCAAAAAGGGCCCCTTTTTCAAATGAATTTCCTGGCGAATTTTCTTTTGAACCGGAGGAACTGATTGCAGTCGCAAAACAAATGAAAGGTAAAGCGGCGGGGCCAGACGCGTGGAAGTCTGATCATCTGCTTGAATTACCCATGCCCTGGTGGGTCCAGTTCACACGCCTTTGGAACTCCATCCTGCAGGGAGCCCAGACGCCGATGCAGTGGCGTCGCGGCCTCGTGGCATTGTTACCCAAACGGGTAACGTCAACACGCCCGATCGGGCTTCTTCAGGTTGCTTGGCGCATCGGTGCAAAATGTCTTTGCAAACGTTTAAGAAAATGGATCCTCTCCTGGGTCAGCCCGAGTGCCTTCGGCGGGGCTCCGGGATTCTCAACCGCAGACGCACACCTTCGAATTGCTTCAGCCCTAAAAAGGCAAGTAAATTCTTTTGTCGTGCAAGATTTAAAAGGCTTTTTTGATCATCTTCAACTTAACGCCGTAATCCCGATCCTCAGACGGCTCGGTGCACCCAGCTGCTTGGAACACATCTTGAATAGCGTCTACTCGGGTGCCGAGCGGCTCTTCGTTGCAGGCGGATTTGCGGCCGCAGCCTGGACTCCTGTCTCACGAGGCTTGGTACAGGGGGACCCACTAAGTCCTTTATTGGCGTTGGCAGTCAGCGTGGCTTGGAGCTCTTACGTCATACAAGGCCCAATTCGAGGCCTTATGTATGTGGATGACAGGCTTCTTTGGCCGGAGCAGAGTGCCAACCCTGCCCGAGCCATTGGGCAGGCGGTGGAACGATCCACCAGGTTCGACAGAGCTTTCTACTTAGTGTGCGAACCCACCAAATGCTCTGTCATTGCAGCTCCTGGCGACACTTCCCTCCAGGACTTGGCGGAACGGCAGGGCTACATGCAGAAAACTTCGCTTGAAATTTTAGGCGTCGAAATCGACTTGTCAGGCAGCACCCCCAAGCCGCTCAGGTTGGTGCTAGATCGTGTGCTGTGGCGCCTCCGCTTCATCAAATACCTTCCCGTGCCCATCCACCGAAAAACTCAACTCATGTGGACTTTGGGGTTTTCGGCTGTCTTTTGGTGTGCTGGCGTTGCTTCCCCGGGCGATGCTGTTCTCTCCACCATCAGGTCCGAGGTCCTTGCTGCCTTTCGCAGAAGCTTCACTCCCGAGGTGCCGTACTTCTTGCAGCACTGCATGATGGGGTGGAACACAGACCCCTTTTTCATGCAAGATTACACAGCCCTTCGTCGTGTCCAGTCCTTCGTTGCACAGCGACCTTCCTGGCTTGATGATGTGCCACTCCGGGAGGCCGTCGATCCGTGGTCGGATCTGTTTCCGGTGGCGGCTGAGGCGGTCCGAAAACACAAATGGACCATCCTTCCTCATGGCGAGGGCCTTGCCAAAACCGATAGCAACGGGTGCCGCCGAGTTTTCCGCTTTGGATTCTCTTCCTTGAAGGTCCTGCGCCAGTGGCTGGAAGAAGAATACGTGCGACAGGGCGTGCACAATGCCGGTCGCATTAAAGCTTCGCACCACAGGGTTGACCCTAATGCCGCTTCGGGTTTTAGTCTCCCTAAGCCCCCTAGGCAGGCCTGGTTTTGTTTTGCCGCGCATAGAAAAATCTTTCTTAATCCCGAAAATCTTGCGCAAAAACGTGCCGCAGTTGCAGCTGGAGCCAGTTTTTGGCACACGCACTGCGGGTCCCACCGCCCAACACCAACTGATGCAGACAAAGTGTGCATGTGCGATAAGCTTGAACCGTCGAGAGCGCACCTCACGTGGTGCTGCCCGGGCCTAAGCACATTGCGCGAGACCAACCCGGTCGTTCCTCCGTCTGATCGCGCCTCTGAAAGGCTCTTTGCCCCTCCGCTTGAGACTTTCCCTGCTGCGCCTGAGCCAGTGCCCTTGCAGCATGCACAGCTTGCCGATGCTATTCGCAATCTTCTGGCGGCAGACCAGGAGGCTCAACCGTGCATCGCCACCGACGGCTCGCACCTTGAAGACGTGGCTGGCTCTGCAATCGTTCTTCACCAGGCTGGTCGTTTCTCGACTTTTGCTTTTGGCGACGACGACGAAGACCAGTCCAGTTACCGTGCCGAGCTTCTGGCCCTCCGTGAGTTAGCCCAGACTTGCGTCGTAGCTGCCTTGGCTGGGGCACGAGGCGAAGTGTACGTCTTGGTGGACTGTCAAGCCGCGCTTGCTGCACTTAAGTCGCGGTCGTGTGCGACCCTTCAGCTGCTCGTGCAACAAATCGCCACACATCTTGAAACTTCCACCAGATGCGGTTTAAAATTGAATCTGCGATGGATGCCCGCACATGGACGTCAGGCCACTTGGACGCCAGACTTTCCCTTGCCTGTTGACTTGTGCAGACTGCTCAACGACAAAGCCGATGCCGCTGCACGTGATGTTATGCACAGGAGGCACCACAACTCTGCCCGTGCAACCTGGCATCGACGACGACGCGAAGCTCAGGAATGGACCAAGCAGGCCATCAATCTCTCAGCTCAGGCAGGCGAGGCATATCGCCAGTGGTGTGAGAAACGAAGTCTTGCAAGACCCAGAAATGGGCAAAACGACGACGATGACGCAGCTGCTGATGGGGCGGCGGCTGCTGGGGCCGCTTCTTCGGGCGCGCTGGCTGCTGGCGCGGTGGCTGCTGCCTCGGCGGCTGCTGGCGCGGCGGCTGCCGGCGAGGTGAACTGAGTGCCACCACGAGCTCCTCTGAAACACCGTGTACAGTTCGAGTGCTTGAGCCTGCTTGTAGTCTCGCTCTTTCTGTAGTGGTACTTGCTGTCTGCTCGTACTTCCGACAGGATAGTTCACGAACTCTTTGAAGCTTTCTCTAGCTTAACAAACCTAGCTAGAGTGATGTTGGCATGACATGTCGTCCAGTCTCATGCTCATGCCGACATGTCTTGTAGTAGCTGTTCTCTCACGGCGTGTACAAACTGCGACATAGTACCACTTGTTGGGCCCAAGGAGGCCTCGGGACACGAGGTTGACTCAGCCTGACTTGTGACCAACCAAAGAGTTCAAAAAAGAGTGTTCGCATCACAGACAGACGTATCTGGATGCGCATATCCAGCCAATGCAGCAACAAGCGCCGCCTGAGTGCGGAGTCAGTGCGCATTCTGGGGCTTTATGAGTTGTGGTTACTTCACATGAGCCCCATGGTCAGCATGCGACCGGCAGCAGTGTTTCCAGTGGAAGCACAAGCGGACGCCAGTGCCCAAGGTCAACGGGCTTGCATTGGTGGGTTCGTGTCACATCCTGCATTAGGCCAAAGGTGGTTTAGGGAAGAATTCACATATGAGGAGTTCCGCGAGCTTCAGGTTCCCATTCAGCAAGATATGCAGCTTGACATTGCGTGCTATGAAGCACTCGCTCAAGGGGCGCTGATTATCGCATCTTCAACCTTGATACCTTGCTCCAGAATCAAGCTTCGGACGGTCTCAGACAACAGTGGTGCGGAGGCAGGTGTGAATGCATCATTTACAACTTCACGCCCACTTGCATATTTCCTTGAACGCATCTCTCTGCTTGCAGCAGTGTATCGTACCACTTTGGATGTGTCTCACATACCTGGGGAGAAAAACACCAAAGCAGATGCACTGTCAAGACCGGGTGAACACGACATTCCCCCAGACTGCCTCGACTGTGATCGCATCAGGCTTCGCCTGAGTGATCTTTGGCTGCCTCGGCCGGCCATTTCCATTTCGCCCAGCGATGCTTCGCTGGCATGGACCGTGCGAGCCCCAGGAGTGCCGAACAACCTCACATAGTTTTGGGCTTTTCGAGAGCGAGGTTGCTGGGTAGTTGTTATTGGGCGAAATGTGCCACCCATCAACCTGGTTTTTTCGTTTGTTGTCTCACTCGACTTATGTGAGACAAATCGGCACTCCTGGAAAATACTACGTCTTTCAGGGCCTTTGAGTTTGGACTTAAAGCCTCCGGCATACCGCTAGCAAGCACAACTAAACCTATAGAACGATTTGTGTACTTGTTCACATCTGTTTTATAGTTTATGTGTGCGAACATTTTGGCTCACAGTATTAGTTGTGCTTGCTGGCGGTTTTTTCGAATTCCTCACCCTCCCGCCCTTGATTCAAGACTGGCGCGTTCTAGGACCGCACAAGCTGTTTCACAAGGCACTGGCCAAAAAACTCGACAAAGACCTCGTAACAAGAAAACTGGGCCTTCGGGGCAGGCACGTCTCACAGTCCCAGTAGTATCAGCAGCTGAAGTGTTTTCTACTTGCAATTATCGCTTTTCTTGTTTATCTTACGCTTTTTGCTGCAATACACCGTGTCACCTCTTTCAAGAACCTCCGCAATGGTGAATGCATTTAGTTTGGGCTTATATCCGTATCCTTTTGAATCGGGTCGTTTATGTCCTCTGCCAAAGGAGGTTCCTCGTTGCGACCAGTAGGTTCTCATGCATCGTAAGTGCAAGTGCTCGCGCTGGTCCCACAGCAGTTCTGCGAACTTATTCCGCAATTGCATTCGCAGATTGGTCATTCTGTACTTCGGGTTCTCTCGTCTTGGCTACTGCTGTAACGACAGTTTGGATGGGGGGGCGAAATGTGCCACCCATCAACCTGGTTTTTTCGTTTGTTGTCTCACTCGACTTATGTGAGACAAATCGGCACTCCTGGAAAATACTACGTCTTTCAGGGCCTTTGAGTTTGGACTTAAAGCCTCCGGCATACCGCTAGCAAGCACAACTAAACCTATAGAACTCGCGTGTATCCGGCCCTCCCAGCACCGATTATCGTCCACGAGAAGGTCGTTGCAGCTGGTGAGGAGCCTGGCAGCGAATTAGACGCTGTCGGAGAACTTGATCTCGATATGCCTAACGCCAAGAGCGTTCAGAAGAGTGCACCTGACGATAACAAGAAGGTGCCCGACAAGGGTAAGCCTCAGTCGCCGCCTGATGAACCTAGAGCGCGCGATCTGAGAGATGAGGCAAAGTCAATCCGTCATCTCATGGCCCATCTCCCAAAGAACCCCTATTGCGATGCCTGCCAACGTGCAAAGATGGAAAATGTTAAATCCTTTCGTCAAGACTCACCGCGCGATAAAGGGTTTGAGAAGTTTGGCGAACACGTTACCATCGATACAATGGTGTTGCATGGGCTCGGCAATCGCGGGAATAATGGGGAGACGGATGCTGTCGTCTTTTACGATCTAGCAACCGAGTGGCTGGAGAGCGTTCCCGTTAAGGGAAGGACGAATGCCGATACGCTCCGAGCATTTCAGCAGGTCTTTGGCGATCTTCGAGATGTGAACTCGTGCTCCATGGATGTGGAGAGGAGGTATGCACCTTCTGCGATTCGGGAAATCTACTGTGATAAAGCCCGTGAGTTCATATCGACCTGCAAGAAAGTCGGCATCTCTGTGAAGCATTCCACGCCGGGAATGCCTCGAACTAATGCCATTGCCGAGAGCAAGGTGAAGCTTGTCCTTCATGGCGCACGTGTGGCGCTACGACAAGCGGGATTGAGCGCCAAATTCTGGCCTTATGCATGCAAGCACTTCTGCCATGCTCGCAACATCGAGTTGCGTGAGGGTCAGAGTGCCTATGCGATGCGATTTAATGGTGTTGAGTTTGACGGTCAGATTCTGCCGTTTGGTTGCCTTGTTGACTTCTATCCTACGCCGGCACGAAAACAGACCCGGCGGAGTCAGAGAGATGAAGTCGTCCTCGGCGATGGTGAGGAGTACGCCGTACCTGCGCCTGGGGCCGACGGACTGATTGATGTCGAAATTGGTTTCGATGACGATGGTTATTTAGAGTGGATTGATGACGGAGACAATGATCAATCTAGCACTCTTCAGGGCGCCGAAGTTGATCAACGCTTGTCGTCTTACCAACGCCCCAGTAAGTTCTCCCCTACGAGTAAGCCTGGTATTTTTCTGGGTTATCATTTTGAGAACGGGGGCAAGTGGGACGGTGACTACATTGTCGCCGATTTGGAAGATTTCAAACGCGATGCGTTGCGCGCGAGCGTCCACCAGGTCAAGAAAATATATTGCTCACCCAAGGAGCGATGGACGTTCCCGATGCTCGCTGTGTACGACAAGCAGACTCGATCAATGTGCATCAACGATCCTGCGATGCAGTCTTGTGCGCCTCAATCTAGTGAGCGCCTTGACGCCTCTGATATGCTCGAACTCGAAGATATCGATGAAATATTTGCCCTCGACGAGCCGACCCGAATGACCGAAGAAGATGTTCGGCGGGCTCGTGAGGCCGAGTTACGAGCCGAATCTTCTCATGGAGGAGGTGTCGACTACTGGGAATATGATCCATCGAGTCATAAGTGGACTTATCACGTAGTCGTCCCGAGAAAGGCGATGATTCATCCCAGTAAGACTCCCGGATCTCTTGGCGAGTCGCCTGATCCGTGGAAGCTGAGCACAGTGCGTATTTCGCATGTTCAGTATAAGGATAAAAGTCCGGTTACGATCTATGAAACCGGCTATGCCTTCGGCAAAACGAGACTGATGCAACTCTGGACAGGCACTGTCGAATTCTATGATGATGGCTTTGCCCCATCCAAGAAGAAGTTACCTCCTTACCATGGGTCAGAGATCCTGGAGGGCGAGGGGGGTTTGCCTTACCGTCAGAGTGTGCCACGCTCCGAGCGTGTCTACAGAGGGTCTCGAAAACCGAACTCTATCGACTCCGAATCCTGGCGCAGCATGAATCGCGCCGAACGGGAGGGATATGTCGAGGCTGAGCGCCGAGAAGCTGAGTCTCACGCCATGTCCCGAGAGGATTCTCGCGATGCCGCTCCTATCGACATCGCTTTCGATTCCGAATATGAGTCGGGTGCTGAACGGCATGATAAGGATTATTGGTATCACGATGTCGCAGCTGGCACGGTCACCCGATTTCATGTGATCGAGCGCCGAGCGCGCTTTAATCCCACCTCAGTGAAGGACTGTCCTGTCGATCCTGTGACCTTGACAGATGTCAGGATGACTATGGCCATGACCGATGGCACGGAATTTACGTTGCAGGATTCATGGAGATCATCCGATGTGCGATCTCTGCCATGTCGATGGACAGGAAAGACCGTTTTCGTTATCGGTTCTTCTGCCAAAACACAGATCAAGGTTCGAACCAGTCTGCCGAATAACGACGGAACAGAGCGCCGAGTGCAAACGGCGAACGGCTATTATGGCCACGCCTTACGTGCGAAGGGACGTGTTGTAGTCCCTGCTAAATCTCGCGCCTGTGTTGTTACTGACCTTGAATTCGATCCCCCAAGCGGCATGTCGGCCCGCCTTCAGCCGCTTCGCGGTAGTGGCCTCGATATTTGTCCGGCCATGTATACGTACAACGAAGGGGCTACCCAATCCGGGGTCGACGTCCTTAATCCTACCGACACCGATCTTATTGTCGAACCAGGACAGGATGTGGCAGTGGTTCAGTTTTATACTTCCGTGCTAGCCGCAGCTGAACTTGATTTCACAGATGAGGATACCGGGGATGGTACTTCTGCACCGGTAGAGCCCTCCAACGACTGTCTGGATACCGATGCAGCACCTGCGATGTCTATTCGTTCCGATCCTCATTCGCATCGCTCTCCAGACTCTTCGGTGTTCTTTTACAGCGCGTGTGTCGCACGGCCTGTTGATCGAAAAGAACGTGCCGCTAATCCCAAGGCCAAGGCCGCCCTTGATAAGGAGTGGAACAAACTTATCAATCAGGGCTGCTGGGATTACTGGGATTACCCCTCCGTGCGTGAATGGCGCGATGTATCTAACGAGGCCATGGCGAAAGGAGAGACGGCCCATGTTGGTCGTATCTTCGATATATGCGTGGAAAAGAACTCCGAGCTTCCAGAATCCGATCCAAATCGAAAATTTAAGGGTCGTGTCGTGTTTGAGGGCTGTCATGTCAAAGATGAAGGCAACAATTGGGCGATTTTCTCCGAGATAACTTCATGCCCCGCGACCATGGAGGCAGGGAAGGCCGCTGATGCTTTCGGTCTCTTGCCCGGTCACGAAATACAAGTTGCTGACGGCGAGTCCGCCTACACTCAAGCTAAGCTTGGTGGCCCCGCCACATGGGTGCGACTGCCCAAAGATCGATGGCTGCCCGAATGGCATGGGAAGTATCATGACCCGGTTGTGCGTCTTGTATTGGCCCTTTACGGGCACCCGGATGCCGGTGGGTTCTGGGAACAGCATTGCGAAAAGGCTCTCCGCTCTGTTGGCTTCGAGCAATGCCCTGACTGGAAGAGCGTGTTTCGCCATCCCAAGCTTAACCTTATGCTTGTGGTCTACGTCGATGATTTTAAGCTCAGTGGACCAAAGGCCAATCTGGCCACAGGGTGGGAGCTCATGTCATCAAAGATTAAGTTGGAGCCGCCCTCGAGCATCAAACGTTATTTGGGTTGTGAGCATGTTACTTTCTCTCATGTTGTTCCTAATTCTTTTGATCCGCGCTCCTATTGGACGCGTTTCGAGGAACCCAAGAAGGCATTTCCCGAGCTCACTTTTGGCGATCGTGACACTACTGTCGCTCAGGGCTCTGTCGGTCCTCGCGAAATCCGAATGATCAAGTACGATATGCGATCGTTCATGGAGCAATGTGTCTCTCGCTATGTCGAGCTCTGTGGTCCGAAATACAAAGCCACCTTGCGGTCGGCTGACACGCCGTTTCTCGATGAGTCACGACCGGAGTTCGATACTAATCCGGATCGTCCCGAGGTGAACCGTTTGTTGGGCCATCCCACCGATACGCCTATACCTCCTGGTAAGGGCGTTCTCGGTGACTGCGCTGCCGCTGTCCTGATGAAAATCTTGTATGGTGCTCGCATGGGGCGATACGATCTCATCCGTCCTGTGCAGGCACTTGCTAGTCTCATCACCAAGTGGGATGGTTTGTGTGACAAAAAGCTCCATCGTTTGGTGTGTTATATCAACTCCACCCTCGATCTCAATTTATATGGTTGGATTGGCGATGCGCCCGAGATGTTAGAGCTTGTGCTCTATTGCGATGCTGATCTTGCGGGCGACCGCACTGATTCCAAGAGCACGTCTGGTGTCTTCATGTGTCTTCTTGGCCCGCGTAGCTTTATGCCTCTTAATGCGCTGTCCAAGAAGCAGACTTCTGTGTCAAAGTCTACTCCCGAAGCCGAAATTGTCTCCCTTGATCACGCCGTCTATAAACTGGGATTGCCCGCTCTCTCCATGTGGGAGTATATGTTGGGCCGTCGCTTCCGTTTGCGTGTCATGGAAGACAATGAAGCTGCCATCCGAGTCATTATCACTGGTCACAATCCTAATATGCGTCATATGTCCCGTACCCAGCGTATCGATATTTCTGCGTTGAATGAACGCTACCACGCTGGTGACTTTCTATTTGTGACGTGTCCCTCTCAGTTTGAGGCTGGTGATATCCTGACCAAGGCCTGCACTGATGCCAAAGTGTGGGGTCGCAACCTTATGTCTATTGGTCATTTTCGCAAAGGTACTCTTATTTCCTCTGGTATGCTGTCTGCCGCTCCCGCTCTCTCTGCTCTCCCCTCTGTCTGTCCAACCAGGGGGGTACATCTTGAAACTGGTCACAGTCCCTTCAACGATTTCATCCTCGAAATGTCTCGTCAGGGGGGTATTTCAATTGATGATGCTCACCAATTCGGAGCAGCCATAAAATGTATTCATATCGGAGGCGAAGGCATAATCCGATTCCCTCATGCTCGAAGTATCAATCTCAGTCTCGATGATAATGCAAAGGGGATTGCTATTTCGAACATCAGGGTTCCGCCTACGCCTGCGGTATGTATTGTTACTGTTCCGATTGCTGGCACCGCTAACAAAAGAGAAGCCGGTTTCAAGAGCAGGGGTTGGAAAGAAATGAGGGGCGACCTCAAAGAAAAAGGATGGGAAGCCAAGAAATTACTCGGGTACGCTTCCGCTGCCCGGTCATCTGGAATCCCTGTATTCCTTGTGCTACCGAAGGGAAACCCATTGTGGGGTAGGGAGTACATAAGACGATGGTCTGAATCGCACGAGCTTTGCCCAGTTAAGCTGTGTTCGTGCTCCTCTGGTCGATGTTCTCAGCATGCGTGGATGTGCGAGATTTTCATGCCCGCCCGGTTTGGGCCCATCTTCATGTCACGATTTGCGTGCAATCACAAGAAGGCCAAAAGGGTCGACCCGAAAGAGCTTCGATTTGCATTGTGGGCTGTGCTAGAACATTTCATCAATTCTGCGGTTTTTGGCTCACAGCAATCCGCGTTGCCGATTGCTTAAACAAAGACGCCAAGGCCATGCACATACTTACACACTCACACTTGACTATAGCTTGGTAAGGAGCTCTAAGGGCAACGATCATGGATCACCTTCATCAACCGACCATCACAGACCACCTCTACTACGACTCAGTCCATAGCCCACTTGCGCTCCCTGCTAGGACAGGTTGTAGCTGCCACGGGCTGCGAACTTCTCCGCGCTGCCGCCGCTGCTGAACGATGGGGGGAAAGAACAAGCAGCCACCGAAGAAGGCTGCCGCCAAGACACCGGCTGCCCGATCACCTCAGCCGAAATCTCCCTCGCCATGCGGGGAAGGCCTTCCGAGCGGCCCGATTGCGCCAACTACGGAAAGGCCTCCTGCTCCGCCGATCCCTACGGAGCAGGATGACGCCAACATGGGCGCCGATGAAGCCCCAGTCCCGATTCAGACCCCGAGAGATGAGTCTACTGGGGGTGGGAAGCGCTCCGAGGACGTTCCGATAGGATTGAGGATGAAAGCAATGATGCTGAAGATCGGGGTCCAAGAGATCCCACAGGCCTCAATCTGGCAGCGCCTCGAACAGCTGGCATGCAACTCTGGTTTCGACCTAAAGCTGCATCAGCTAGTTGACTCCTTCCTCCTCTCTAATCATCCGCTTGCGGATAAGCAGAGGAAGCAGTATCCCCGAGAGTTTATGGACTTCGTCGATCGATACAGGGTGATGTGCGCTCTTGCATTTTCCCGAGTGGCAACGTTGTCCGGTGACGCCGCAGGGGTCCGCGAGAAAATGGACCTTACGATGGCATTGGCTCGCCACTGTATGCACTTCCAAGCGCAAACCTTTAAGGGGTCTCGAGAGACACTGAGCAACGATACGCTCCGTCTCATGGGAACCTGTTACATTCCGTCGCCTCTTGCGAGTTGGAATCGAAATCTCATGGGATACAGCAGTTCGTCTGCGGAACAGCGATGGTTGAGGACCGATACGAGTATCAAGCACAACGACCTCACCAAGCTGTCGCCCATTGAGTTGTCAAGGGATGTGGTCAACCCGGCTGAAGCCGCGAGGTTCTTCAAGGGATTTCTGCAGCTCAGGCCGACACTTTCTTTCATCCCTGGGGCGTTTCTGGCAATCAAGGCCCTTAACCGATTTCCCACGCTGAATTCTCTGAAAGAGCAAGCGAGTCACCTCGAGAATGATCGCAAGGAACACGGCTACGATCTACCTGCCGTGGATGCGAACGGGATTGGTGAAGTGGCCGCCTTTCGCAACGAAGACGACGATGAGAATAACCCGCTGATGCGCGGGTGGGCCTCGTTCATGAACACGATGGCTGAGGCCTACCCCGGGCGATGCGTCAGCATCGATGATACGCTCAATTGGGGAGCCAGCACCCAAATGACCTACGAGGACGGTGCGTCACAGATCACCATCCGCCCGACTGACGGGTGGGTGTATGTCCCAGCGATGAATTCGGACATATACGATCCTCAGGAGACGTACCTCCACGGAACGAATCTCCGATACCTCTGGTCGATTCTTGCTCACGGAGGCTTGTTCGGAGAGGATTATGTGACGGATGATCATGGAAGTCACGAACCCTGCGTCTGGGTGACTGGACACGCCCCCGAGGCTGCCGGTAGCTATGCATCTGGCACGTATCTCGGCGGAGGCTACTGGTTCCAGGTGATGATCTGCGTCTCCCGAACTATGGTGAACAGCCACAGTCGCACGACAAAGAAGCTGGGGGGATCCCAGAAACAGATCCGCGTAGGAACTCGATTTCTCGAGCTGTGCGGAATCGCGTTCAGGCCCTTCCGCCTCTTGGATGACCGCGAGCAAGGGGTTTCTACTTCCCCAAACTACGTCATCCACGGACACCGATTCCTCAGTGCCGATGGGACGAAAGCCGTGGCCTGGCACCCGTGGATGGAGGCGAGCCCGATCGATCCTCGCATTCTGAAGCTGCTGGGAGACAGTGTCGCGCGCGACAATGTTGAGTTTGCCGACCTAACGATTCAGGGGGGCAACACTACCCAACAGGCTGCATCTACCGAGACGGAGCAGCCTGTGGCGACCGCGGCCGATGATCATGCTGCGGCGAGTGGTGGTGAGGCAACGGAGCGAATCACCGTCAACCCGGTAGTGCTTCGACGCAATCACTGGATGCCCGACTCGTACGGGACGAGTGAGCAAGCCACTGTCGGTGGAAGGTATGCATTGCTATCCGAGCTCCAGTCCTCTAGCTACCGAATCGAGCTGGCTCCTTTCTTTCAGTCGCGTGCACCCATGCTGGGTGAGGAAGGCAGCCAAGGCTTGCCCAAGCCTACAAAGCTCGAGACAATAGCCGGGGGACCTTCCAAAGAGTGGGAGGCATGGTGCAGGCACTACCGAAAAGCATACGGTGCTCTGCTCGGCAACTTCGGCTACACGTCCGCCAAGAATATCAAGGGTATCGTATACGATGAAGAAAATACGACGGATATCATTGGCGCGCTTATTTGGAGCCCAGCCGATGCCCTTGTGGCTGTCTCGATTCACGGGATCAGAACGGTCACGACCATGGCATCCACGATTGCATTTGGAGGTGCTCCGCCAACGATCAAGCCGGCAGTACCCAGCAAGCCGCAGAGATTCGTTGTCATGCACGATGGCCTGCTAACCTTCAGATCTGCCAAATCCTGGCACGCTGGTGAGATGAACACCCATCTGAAGAACGCGCTGGCAAGTTTTGGATTCCCTGAGTCCGAAGTTCGGGTACAGGCGTTTGATGAGGGCGAAAAGCTCAAGGAGATGGTAGACACTCTCGAGCTGATGCAGAGTGACCCATCTGTCCCGCCATCGAACGTTCACATCCTCATCCTCTGGAAAGGAGACGAGTTGTGGAAGATGGACCAAGGCTGGAATAAGCTGACTGGTGACATCGATATGGCACGATCACAATACGCCAAAGTGACCGCCCGGGACGCCCTTGAGAAGTATAACACGATCTACGGATCGGTGTCCCTGTGCGGACCAGTGTCACCGAGCATGGGTTTCCTTCCGACTCTTCCTGGCCCTCTCTTCGAGAAATACAGAGAGGAGATGAGGTCGATCTGGGACGAAATCAGGAGGTCCAACTTCCTTTCCCTGTCGTTTGACGCTATCCTGGAAGGACTACCGTACCTGAAAGGATATCACATCATGCATGAGTCCAAAACGATCGGGGTCCTATGTACCCGTATCTGCTCGATGTTTACACTGGCGGCTCTCGCACGATTTCCGTCTTACGCTACACGACGGGAGTATCAGATTGCCCACGATAAGATGTGGGCGCGCACTCCAGTTCCGGAAGAAAGGTCGACTGGCACGGTGAAGGCCATTGTGCACTCCACAGTGCAGGACCTTATCGAAGGGGCAGATCGCGGCGCTGATCATCGAGCCGCAAAGACCGTTGACATGAGTCAGCTTGGCTTCGATGACGAAGATGAAGAGGAGATGGCTGACGATGCAGGTCCGGCTGCTCCTGAGAATCCGATTAAACAGGAACAGACGTCTTTGGCTGATCTGCCGGGTATTCGTCATCCGGATCCGATTGAGCTGCCCGCTACTCCCGTGCATGGCCAGGCAATGCCGGTATCGCCCGGCCTTGCTCCGGCTGCTGCGAACGATGAAGAGTCTAGCGATAGCTCCGATGGCGACGGACAGCAAGGGGATGGCGATGCAGCGATGCCTGCGGTCAAGAAAGAGGAATCCGATGAGGAGTTTAATGAGCTTCTCGAAGGAATGACTGAAGCATTCGAGAACTTGCCTACTCCCCGGGATGCAGAGCGAACAGTCGCCGCCAATCGGGACGCTGCACGACCACCCGCCGTGCCGGCGATCCCGCTATCTGCGATGAAGAAGCCGAAGCCGTTCAGTGGTGTGGAAGCCGCGGGACCTACTGCCGAGGGTCGCCAAGGCTATGCGCACTTCGAGAGCCAAGTCAGTGAAGCTGAGGCTCGACGTGAACAGGCTGCTAAAATGAAGGCGCATATCGCGGAAGTGGCGAAGGGCGCCACGGGAGTTGAGAATGCCGAACACCTTCGATCCATTGCCGATGGGCTAGCCAGGGTCATGGACCCGAACATAAACGATGACAATGTGTTCCAGGGTGCCATGTATCCTCCGGGTGACTATGCGCTTGACGCTGTCACGAACCGGCTGGCCCAGGGCCGACGCCGAGTTGAGTCGAACAGCAATCTCATCAGGGAGATGGCCAGCGACCGATTTACGCCTGTGCTCATCAACCGAGATACTGGTGAGACTGTGTCCGCCATTGATGCACGGTGGACCCCGGAGTATGGAAACAGGGGGGAGCTCGAGGCCAAGGTTGGTGCGATTATCTCCAACCTGGATGCAGTTGTCGCAAGCATGTCGACCCTTCCTGTGTTCCATCCGCACATTCCCTCAACATATGGTATGGCCCGATCGCTTCTCAACACATACCAGTCATTGCAGATTGCCATCCGACACCGCGGCATGGGTGCGATGTCCTTTGAACAGATGGTGTTCAAGCCGGAGGATCTTGAGGTTCCGACTCCCGATGACTGGCCGGACCTCATTGCGCCTACCCCTGGAAAAGTCATTCAATCCATGCGGGTGGCCCTGGTGAACAACACGGCGGCAAGGTTGACGAGAGAGGACCTCAAGCTGCCACCGGGCTTCGCCATGCAACGACGAGTGACTGAGTTCCGTAAGCCGGAGGAAGATCCAGTGCAGAGCCTGATGGGGCTCACCGATGACTTGAGCTACGGCACTACTGGTCGATCTGGGGATGACAGATTGTCCCAGTTCCAGCGTAGTATGGCAGTACAGCTGCGGAACACTGCTGGATTCCTTGCGAGTGAGTTCCAGAAGCATGCCCGATCTATTGCCGCTTCTTCCTCGCGTCGCAGTGATGAATCAGGTGCCCTGAGTAGCCAGGGTGATGGCGCGGCGGACAACGATCTTCCGTCCACTGAACAGGCTAGTGTTGCATCTGAGCGCGCGATTGCGCCGCCTCCGCCAAACGTGGCTCCTCCTCCTCCGCCTACTGCGGCAGCACCTCCGAGGGCGTCCGAAGAGAGTGCAAAGGAGGATGACGATGATGCCAAAATGGATGATGACACGGCCGGTCAGAAACCCGAGCAGAAACCCGAGGAGGACGCAGATATGGGTAGCGGGAAGGAGCTGCAAGACGAGGTCCCCGGCAAGGCCCCGCCGCCAGCTGCCCGAACCGCTGAGAGCCCTCCGGAACACGGCCTGCGTTCCAGTCCTCCGAATGACATGGTTGCTCAGGGAGCCGCGCTCTCCGGTGCTCGAGGGCCGGATATCGACATTGACCCGGCCAGCACCACAGCCGATCAAGCGGCAAATGATCCGAGAAATTTCCGGATCGAGGGCCCTGGTATCAAGGCGACAACGATTCATCGCCCTGACCAGATGCCCGAGAGGGGTGTCGACTCTATTGCACCGATTGTGCAGTATGAAATGACGTCCGTCCCGATTGCGCTGACTGACTTCGTCGTCCCGGGACTCGACATGGGCATCGATGATTCCGTCCATGGTCGGCTGGTCTCCGCGACCTGTCTCCCACCGACTGACGAACAGCGCAAATATTCGAGGCGCCGATTCGCTATGCTGTCCTCGAATCAGACGGTGTACTTGAACGTCGCACTTCACAAGAAACCGGTGAAAGGAGATCACGATTCTTTCCTCCGACCAGAGTCTTACGAGGATTGCCGCGAGATCCATGACGCTGTCCGAGCATACAATGATAAGGAGGCAAAGTTCCGATCCGTCGGCGGAACATCCGTGTCATGCAGCCGATTGTTGATCGATGACGCACAAAACATCCCTGCTGCCAGGATTCCGGACGCAGGAATGATCAACTTGGTGCGGAAACTGCTGTTCCGAGTGCTGACGCAAACGAAGGAGTATCCTTCCGCTACCGCCGAGAGAACGCAGAATCGCCCCCAGGATCAAGAAAGGGGCATTCCCTTGTATTCGCGCTTCGACCAGAGTGGCATTATCGCTTTCGATGTCATTCCGATGTACATGGAGCGTGAGAGGGAATACATGAAGGCCAACGCCGGAGAGAACGATGGCCGAATCCTTCTCCAGACAAATATTCTGGATGAGCGAGGCGAACCGACCGAGATCACTACCCGATGCATTATGGAGATCGCTCGGACGGACAACAACCGAATGTTTGAGTTCTTCTACTCGACGATCGACAACGATGGAAGTCCTCAATTTGTCGGCATTCGAGCCACCTACGGTTTCGGCCCTGATAACTTCAACCGATTCCGACTGCTGACCAAGTGCCAGCACGGGCCATTTATCCAGCTCGCTCAGGATCATTACGTCGCTGGCGAGAGGAAAAGAAATGTGGCCCGATACCATCCTCAGTATGGATGGGGATGCGCAACGATTCGCGAATTCTTCGGGTACATGAGCGATTGCAAGCTCAATCCTCCGAAAGGACGGCTGTTCCTCACTCTGCTCCCGTATGCTCCCGGATCTGGGAACAACAATGAGTGGGAAGAGGTGTACATGAACGTCCGAATGAACCCGGGGCGTGAGACGCTTTCGAACACCGCGTCATCACAATCCATGCTCCCTGAAGGGATGGGATCCAACCGCATGATCGTGTTTGCGATTGATTTGCACATGATTGCGGCGGGAATCAATCCGATTGTATTCCACCCGAGGGGATATTATGCGATCAAAGACAGTATCCCTCTCGCCTGTATGCCCATTGCATACTTCATGGACACGGGATCCCTTGTGTTCAACACGGCCTTCAAATATGTTGGAGGCCCAAAGTTCGGCACTGGCCCCAAGAGAGGAGACCACAAACGAGAAACGTGGCCGCTTGCTAGTTTCGACTGCCCCATGTGCGGAGCATCATTCCCGGTGGGTCTCCACATGTGTCACTCTTGCACCAAGCCGATTCATTATCCTGATGGGATGTTCTACGCCGATCCTGTAAACCCATTTCAGGTCGAGTACTATGGAAGTCATGCCGAATGGCTCAACGAGCTCATTGAGCGAAACGAGCTTAAAGAATTCCGACTTCACGAGTACCCTGCAATCAAGCAGCTGAGGAATTTCCCGGTATCTAGGTCAATCGCTGAGGACCACAGGCAAACCGCGTTCTTCGGGGTGCCACCGATCAAATGCACTGCAGCTGATACATCGCCGAAAGAAGTGGAATTGTTCAAGAAGAGCGTGCGCGGAACGATTCAAGGCGCCATTCGATTGGACATCTCCATTGAGAGGCTTGTTGCCGGTATCACTGGCAAGGAAGCTCGGAGCGGTGTGGAAGACTTCCTCAACTCGCAGTCGATCGCCTGTGCAACCACGATAGTCAAGCACTTCGGCGCGGTCTTCGCCACATGCCGCGAGAAGCCGCTGCGCTACTATGCACGATGGTCGATCCACTGTCAGCGCGCATACCGAGTCTGCCTGTCGCGTGGCTATCTCTCCCCCTTTTACACAGGAGGGACAATCGATTATACCGTCGACTCAGACATGATCGAGAAAATTCGGCTTGCGCATCTGCCATTGCAGAACGCCAATCTGGCGATGAGAAGGCATATTCGACTTTCCACCGAGTTTGGAACGTTGGATGAGTTCCGTGCCACTATCACGGACACGCAAAAGTATCAGCGATACATGCGTGTCGATAGTGAAAGCCTTTCCGCGCTCCTTGCCAAGGTTACCCTTACAACGTGCTACGGCATTCCGATGAAAGGTGAACCTGGCTACATCTCTGACGATGAAGCTGAGGAGATCGAAGGAACTGCGGCGGCAACTGAAAAGCCCAAAGGGAAAGGAAAAGGGGAAGAAGAAGAACCCGATGTCCAAGCCATCAATTGGCGTGATTTGGACCCTTTGGGGCGGAAGTTCATCCCGCACCATACCGATTCCCGATTCACGATTTTTGCTGATGGGAATACGGCACTCCTTGATGCCCCCGAAACGCCTGATGAGAAGCGTAAGGAATTCAAGGAGTTCATTCGCGATCACTCTGTCAAGATTAAGGAATGTTTCGATGATGATCGCGCGACTGAGAAGACGTTCTTCAATCTTGTTGAAGGCGTAAAGGATCAGCTCCCCGATACTAAGAGAACTGACCCTGTTCTTATGAAAAAGAACGAAGATGTCTTCGAGGCTCTACCCGATGAACTAGAAGAGCCTCAAGATCTGTTCGACGTCGCAGCTCAGCGGGCACGACGACGTGCTGATGCGCCTCAGCGCAGAGTGCAGGTCACTGAGCAACGGCACGCGTCGATCCCCGAAGCTCATGCCGTCCCCGTTCCTCCGGATGACGAGGACGAGGATGATACTGAGCTCGAACGGGCGATCCGACCCGGCCCGAAGTCACAGCGCACTGGGCGAGAGCACCTCGGAGGTGTCGCTCCTGAGACCTCCGCCTCGCGATGCCGCCTCCGTCTAATCCACCGAGTCGGAAGACGTCGAGGCAATCGGGCTACAATGTTCCCCACGCTGAAGGGGAGACACTGATGGTCTCAGGAAGGGCACCCTACTCCGATCAAAAGTGTCTACCCTTGGTACTGCGAATGAAGACCCGGGTTCCGGAGCCTGATTTGGACAACCCGACGATTGAAGATATTATTCGCATGTATCACGCACCGAACACGCTGCCTGTTGTCAGGAAGAAAGTCGCCAATGTCATCATTTCGATGAATGCAAATCCCGATGACCCTATCAATATGAAGGCGGCTGGCGTAGTTCCTCCCTCTGCCGAGGAAACAGGAGCGGGAAGAGCTGCCTCGCCTGGAGGCACTTCCGCTACTACGCAGGAACGGATTAACCCCAAGTTCCCTGCACCAAATACTCGCACCGCTTCGAACCCACCTTCGAAATCAGCCCGCGACGAGAAATGGGCTCCTTCGATTGTGCGGCCAACTCCTGGTCGGGTGATTACTAGTGCAGAGGCGCGAGGGCGTACACAACAGCGTGTTGCTGAGACTGCGGATCCCGCGCCTCCAGCTCCATCCGATTCCGCTTCGACTGAGCCACGATCTCGCACGATGGGCCCGGCCAAGGAAACAACGGCAAAGGGCAAATCCCGAACTGGCTCAAACGTGACAGGCCTCATCGATGAAGCTGATGACACGAGGCAACCGACGAAGGGCAAAGGAAGAGGGAAAACCGAGAAAGGAAAAGGAAAGCAGGAGAAAGGCCGAGGGAAGGGTGATAAGGGAAACAAAGGAAGGGGCGGTTCGACGAGGAAACAAGGACCGTACCCGTAGCCCCACGACTCGTAGGTAACGACCGTCGACCTGCGTGGCGATGCATTGTGTCACTGCAAGGTGAATCCGGTTGAGTCTTTCTGACCCATGCTCCACACGTCATTCGGGTCAGGCGGATTCTGATGGTGAAACCCGGCTATGATACAATTTCCGCTACTTCCTCAGCCTTCCTTGCCTGCGCCGCGCTGAGAAGACCCACAGGGGTACAATGGTTAGCCATGGTATTTTCCTCGTGTGTCCCTCTCTTTTCACGGACACTCGATGCTGCCGAGTTATCACTCTGAGCGCATTGAGTCTAATATGTAAAACCCGCATAGATCCGATGGAACATCCGATTGCCACCGATCACTTGGCAACTCGCTATGCGCCTGACGATCACAAAAGGCTGCGTTTGTACAGAAGTGAAACATAGGTATGATCCAGATGCAGAGACCGACCCACATCTAATGGTTCTTAATTGCTTCTAGCTTAGCTGACCGGAAGAGGTGTGGCTCGGTGCACAATCAGTGGATGTGACTCTCCTAAACTCCGCTCTTCTCACGCGTGAGCTCGCGTCGAGGGGGGTGTGATTTGTCACTGACGTGCGTACATGTGCTTCTGCCTTCTGTCTCACTACGCAGCTTGATTGCTCAAGGACCGCTGTTGCGAGTCCCAGGAAAAGGCCGCTTACGACCTGGGGGTTGTAGGACTTGTCTTCTACCTGAGCGTCAACCTTACGGTTTTAACTCTGATCATCCTTGCTTTGCCTGCTGCATTGCTTTTATCTACGATCGGCTGCCTTGGGCTTTGTGACCGAGAGTTGAGTGGAATCCTCCGCTTTTCACAGAAAGGAACCAGTACTGAAGCTGAGTGTAACTCCATGGAACCCCAAGAAGCCAAAAGGAACGTATACCAGACAGCCGTTGCCAGCCCCAGCATTAGCAAGTATCGCAGAAGAAGAAGGAACAGGACAGGAACCCGTAGTTCGTGCGGAAGATCGAGGACAGTCCCAAGAGGAACAGGTCGAGGAACTGTTGGATCTGCTGGACACAAGTGGAGCCTCAAGCGGAGGCAGGGCCTCGAGCGGAGGCAGGGCCTCAAGTGGAGGCATGGCCAGCACAGGATCTAGTTTCCATTCCCGGAGTTCAAGTTCAATGCAGGACGCACCACCTGGAGAACCAGAAGGACGTGTCAGTGACGATACTATGCTAGAAGATCTACGGAAGAGAGCCGTAGAAGGTGGACAAGAAGTCCAAGGATCGCCGAAGAAGTCACGAGAAATGCCATCAGCACCATCATCGCCTTCAAAAGGAATCTACCCGCCTTTGTTCGCAGGCAGGGTATCTCAGGAAGATGACCCCTTTCATTGGGATGAACATGAAGATCTCACGGCAGTAGAAGGAGAAGACGTGGAGTATGAAGATCTCATGGAAGAAGAGATGGAAGAAGTTCCAAAGAATGACCAAGGAGAAACACCACGAATTAAGTCCAGAGGAACTGGATGCCTTGGATCAGGAAGCAGCCGTGGAAGAATTGAATCGCCTTAGCAAGCTAGGAGTAATCGAGGAATTCATGGAGGCGAATGCAACAGGTGATGAAAAGCGTATGGATTTGCGCGAAGTCTACGACTGGAGGCATCGTGACGGACGTTGGAAAAGGAGGTGCCGCATAGTGGCCAGAGAGTACAGGGCAGGTGCGAGCAGCACGGCTGAGACATTCAGCCCAACGGCAAGCAACGCCGCGTCGCGCCTAGTCTTGTTGTTACACCTGGTATACAACTGGGTCGTAGTTGTACTTGATATAAAGGACGCGTACCTTCAGGTCCCGCAACAAGAAGAGGTGCTAATCACAATCAGTGATTGGATGAAACGAGCCGCGAACCTAAAAGAAGGAATCGTGTGGAGGCTCAAGAGATGCCTACCTGGTCAAAGAAACGCAGCAACAAGATGGTATGAACATTTGCGAAGTATAACTTGAGAAACTTGGATTCGTGTTCTCAGTACATGTACCCGCATTAGCTAGACACACCACAAGGAAGCTGTGTATGTCTATCCATGTAGATGATGAGCTACTAGCAGGAGAAAAGGAAGAAACCATTTGGTTGGTAGAAGAACTGGAGAAGGTATTCAAGGTGGAGAAAGAAGGACCGTACCCAGCGAATGGAGTAGGAAGTGGAGAAGAGATGCGATATCTCAAAAGGAAGTATGTCTTCACCCGAGAAGGAATTGTTGTCCAACCGAATGAGAAGTATGTTCGGAAGCTCATTGAGTTGTATGACCTTGGAAAGTTGAAGAGTAAGGCCACACCAGAGCATGTGGATCTGGTGAAGGAAGACCGGACCAAGGAGTTGAGTGCTGAAGAGACAAAACGGTTTAGATCTGGACTCGGATCTATTTTGTACCTTGCACAGGACAGAATTGACATTCAGTATGCCTCAAAGTGTTTGGCATCAAGTATGTCGAAGCCGACGGTGCAGGCACTAAAGTGTCTGAAGCACTTGATTCTGTATCTGAGTGGAACAGCCACAAGGGCTACTCTGTTACCGTATACCGAAATCGGAAGCCGGTTGATCACGAAGTTGAATGGCCATGAGGACGAAGAAATTGCCAAGGACGCAGGACATGTTGTGGAAGCGTATTCGGACAGTGATTGGGCAAGCCTGAAAACACCGGACAGAGCCCGAAGGAAGAGTACATCATCAGGAATCATTGTACTGAACGGAGTACAAGTGTTATCATTTTCTAGGACTCAGAAGGCCACATCATCATCAAGCTGTGAAGCAGAGTTGTATGCACTAAGTGGAACTTGTGGAGAAGCTATCCTAGTCGGAAGGCTATTTGAGTTCCTAGTAAACGCGCCTGTACGAGTGGAGATACGGTGCGATTCATCATCTGCACGACAGTGGAGTCAACGACGAGGAGTTGGACGTCTGAAGCATGTGGACGTTAGGCTGTGTCAACTGCAAGATTGGGTGCGAGACAATCTTGTAAAACTTGGTACAGTGCGAACCGCGCTCAATGTAGCGGATCTGAACACCAAGAAGTTGTCATATGCCCGAAGGTCATTTCTACTGTATCACTTGTCCCAAGTAGAGTATGATGAAGAAGGAAACTTGGAGTACACTGGAGAGAAAGAGTATGAAAAGCATGAACAAGAGAAGAAACTGAAGGAGTATGTCGGAAGTGGACAAATCAAGAATCTCATTAGAGCCATACAGGTATTTCATTTGATGAAGCCGATTACCGCAGCAGTGCTCAAGGAGGAAGTAGCTAACGCCCAAGTAGAAGCCTGTGGAGCCTTGGAGAAAGGTATGAACGCCATGGACGGAGACTTCGCGAAGTTTGAAGTTGGAATGATGGTATGCGTATTTTTGCTCGCAGTGCCGTATGCTATTTCTGTATGGACGAAGCTCACGAGAGTCTTGGAAAACCTACGAGGTATTGGACGCGTGAAGATCAGTACGGGAAGCCGAGCACGTGTGTACCACCGTGGAACATGCTGGCACGTCCAGGGATCTCACAAGAAGCCAGGCCGGTGGGTCTGGAAGGACATGCAGGAAGCCGAGCTGGAAGGCTTTAGGGCATGTTGGATTTGTTTCCCGGAGACGAAACCAGAAGGAAGTCTGAGAAGACGCCGTGGACACGTAGAGCCGCCAATCCCAGACGAAAGCGACTGGGAAGTGATGGAGCTTGACTTCGAGGTAGAGTCAACTGGCGGATGCACAAAGAAGTGCTACTGGTGCGGAATCCGGAAGTGTACAAGGGAGAAGGTAAACCACCAGAAATGTTCTTGCACGGAATGCATCAAGACGTATGCAATGGAACAATGGAGGAAAAGTTATGACAGAACTGCGACAGAAGGATCTTGGGATGCCACGGAAAAGGAAGAGACCCGTGTAACGGATGATGGAAAGCATGCATGGAATACTGGACAAAAGAGTGGCAATGGAAAAGGATCCCTGAAGAGACGTGGAAAAGCAGCAATGGGGACTCCAGCAATCGTACATACGGACGGAACGCGTATGCCGATAATCAGTGAGGAAGACCACGCACGTGGAAGCAGAGTCATTTCAGGAATGATTCAGGAAGAGCCGGAAGGGAAGACGGAACCCTCGCCGGAGAAGATTGAGTACCGCAGAAAGATGATCACTGTGGAAGAGATGGGGAACATGATGTTATCCCCAGAAGCACAGGAATCGTATGAAGACTACTGTAGGCAGTATGAAGAACGCGGACAAGGAACGGAAATGCCAATGGATGTGGATCCAGG